AACAAAACATGTCAAGATTTAACTCAAGTAAAACACTTCCTATATTTAATTCCATTTTTTAATTAAAAAATTATCAATAAAATAAAATAAAAATTCCTAAAATCAGAGGACACTTCAAAGTTTCTAAAACATATTTTTGTGGAATTTTTAAACCATTGGAAGTATTTTTTATTGAATTAAATCTAAACAGAAATAAAACAAACATAAAAAAGAAAAAAAAACAAAAAAAAACATGGTGTAGAAAGCAACCCAGACACGTTCAAAATCAACTGGGCCCAGGAAAGGGGATGTCATTAGCAAGAAGGGCCCAGATCCAAGAGCGCGTTGGACTCAGAAGGATCATGTGTGGCACGGTTAAACATGGTACACGGTGAAAAATAATCAGGCACGTTGGATCAGAAAGTAATCAAATCAGAGGGATTACAGTGCAACACGTGGCCATGCAAAGTAAATTAAATGAAACAGTGATTTTTAACATGATTCAGTGTGTGTGGTCAACGTGAGCACACCATACGTCTTAATCTCAACCATCAAATGAAAAGTAAACAGATCCAATGGATTACACAAAGCCACGCAGTCATCTCCCTCGTTTAAATATGGCAAGGGAGGGAAAAAACCAGGTGACGGAGTATGGCGGCTCCGGTCACCATCTCCGGTGAGTCAAAAACTCAGGTGGAGTTGCACTTAACCAAATCACACAAACTGATAGTCCAAATTCATCTACGCATCATGTTGAATCCAAATATGCAATTAGTTTTCATTTTTAAGCAACACACAAGCCAGATCGAAGCCAAACATAAATGAGCTCCAAACACAAATCATCTCAAATGCCAGTCCATTTTAGTTATAAATGATATACATAATTCCTAGGTCTCAATCATGAAAAAATGGCAAGCAAATACATCATAAATAGAGAGAAATGGTGATTTGAAGAATACCAAGTGGAGAGCTTCCACTGAGCGTGATTCTTTGGTGAAGCTTAGAGAAAATTATCCAGAATCACTCCATGAATTCCAAGGAAGCTTTTGCTATGCTCAATTTTGCTTGAAATGGTGTGAATCTGAGAATTCAAATTTCAACTTTTCCTCCTCTTTTTCAACAGTGTACTTTCTCAATTCTCCTCCAAAACGTCTTCTGAGGCATTGTGAATGATCAAGGGATTATATGTGATGGATATGGATAGAAAAGAAACCCAATGGCAACTTGTACAAGCCCAATTGAATTTCACTTTTTTTTTTGGTTTGGAGCTTTCAAATTCACACGAAAATAGAACTTCCATGGCTTGAAAATCAGCTCAGGTAGCTTGCATATGGTGTAGGGTACCTCAATGGCTGAGATTGATCCCTTGTTTGATCTCAATGGTGTGAATTGAAAGTGTAACTTAAGCTTGAAGTAAACTTGGAAATGGCATACTAAAACTCATCAAATTTAAATTCTAAAAATGCAATTATGTTTAGGATGTGATTTGCACTCAAAATATGTATCAACTTGCACAAAATTGGTCCAATATGAACTAATTTGATTTTCTCCTTTTTAAGCTTTTTTCATGAACAAGTCTCACACCAATCCCTCAATCCAAGCCAATTTTATGACTCCTTGATGTTTGGTTGAGCAAATGACCCCATTTGGAGAAAGTTTCATGTTGTAAAGATCTTCATTTGAAGTGTGTAAAGTGGTGAAATGGACCTATAATGAAAATGACCTGTAATCTTACTTTCCCAAAATACCCCTGACTTACAAACCTCATAACTTGAGTTCTATAAATCAGATGAAGGACTTCTAGTACTCTTTAAAAAACTAAGATCATGAGAAACAACTTTCATGTTTTGGTCAAGGTGAGGAGAAACATCCTTCTAGGTCAAAAGTGGCTTGGAAGTTGGTTGACTTTTGTTGACCAAAATCACATTCATCTGAGGATCTGTAACTTGTCAACATCATAACTTGAGTTCTAGAAATCAGATGAATGACTTCTAGTACTCAAAATAAATCTATAAACATGCTCTACAAGTTTCATGTTAGGGTCAAGATGAGATGAGACTTCTATCTTGAGATAGGTGATCTTAAAGTTGGGCACTAAATAGGGAATTTTACACTGAGAACCCTAATTTAGTAACTTCTCACACTCTTGATTCTTGATGAATTGATCTTGAAATGATATATTAGGCTTCTCAACACAACATTCCATGACCATAGAGACTTGGAATTGAGTTTTAATCTCCTTCAATTTCACAATTGACTGAGGATTAACTAGATGAAAACCCTATATGCAACATTCTTGACTGTGGCTTCTTCCACCTCACACAACAACTTGAATAAGCTCCAACATGACTCTCAAAGCACTCAATGAGCTCTCTCAACATCCCATATCCATAATCATGGATTCACAATCATCTGATGACCTTCAACTGGTCTCCAAGTTAGGAGCTGATCCACATACACCCATCAACTTTCTCAAAGAACCCTGACCACCTTTTAATGACTTGATGACCATTCATGCTTGAGTATAACCCCTTGCCTAGGCTCCACACTCCTGGTAACCTCCTATTGCTATGCACAACCTCTTGATCCCCTGCTAAATGAAAAATGCTATGCAATGCAAATGCTAGAACAATGCAAAGAAACAAAAGCCAGCTAAAGAAAAAGGTTGGGCAAATTTTGGGGTGCAACAGCTGCCCCTATTCAAACGGCTTGGACCTGACTGGATGAAAAGCGAACGAATTTCAAACAATCAAGGTAAAATACGGTTGAATACCAAAGAAACTCTGAAATTTGCCAACCGCAAAAAATAAACTGTAACACTCTGATTGGGGAATAAATATCCAGAAAAAACTGAACGCAGACAGTTGCAACGACAACCAGCTGACTGATCATCTGATAAAGAACACCTGACATCGCTGCCAGTCATCTGTGTAACGCCACAGACATCAAAACCAAAGGCTAGATCAACACGTAGTTGGTAACTTCACCTCAGGAAGAGAATAATACTCACATCGTCTAAGGGCAGACGGAAAGACACCAAATACTCACATCGTCTAAAAGTAGACGGAAAGACTCCAAATACTCACATCGTCTAAAAGTAGACGGAAAGACTCCAAATACTCACATCGTCTAAAAGTAGACGGAAAGACTCCAATCACGTTCACATCGTCTAGGGATAGACGGGAAGAAAAACAATACTCACATCGTCTAATGGTAGACGGAAAGACTCCAAAATTGCAGAATTATTTCGTCCATAAGAGTTGATGGAAAGAAAATATCTTCAAAGGGCCACATCGTCAATAGAAATTGACAGAAAGAGAACCATTTTCAAAAAGCCATGTCGTCAATAGGAATTGCCAACAAGGGAAACCAATCATTCTTCAAAAAGTCACAGCGTCAATAGAAATTGACAGCATGAAAACCCTCCTGAAACGCCATCTCATCCAATAAACAGAAAGAAAACCACGTCCGAAACTCACTTCTTCTAAGGATAGACGGAGAGAAAAGAAAAACATATCCGAAGCTCACACCGTCTAAGGATAGACGGAGAGAAAAACCTGTTGGGGAAACACGTCGTTAATATGGATTGACGAAAAGAAAATTTGCTTGGGGATGTCATCATTAGAGGACTGATGAACAAAGCATAACCGTCGTATGATCTGAAACCCAAGTAAACCGATAAGCTGTCTGAACAAAGTTGCTGGATAAATGCCCCTGTATTGATTGAAGAGTGGTTCAAGTTGCTGCGGAAAGCTGACAGAAACTGGCTTATGCTTCGTGCATATGCGTATGTTTGAATATGGCATAATGCTACATACGAAATGGAAATGCTACACATTTGAGGATGAAATGCAAGGATGATGCAAATATGATGACTATATGCAAAGATGCAGATGCAGGCCCAAGCTACCGGGGAGAACTGGATAACAAAACACTCCAGCAAAATAAATGTTGTTTCCATCACATCTTCTGATTCTTTACATATGCTGTTTCGCTCAGAGTCTTCTGCAGCTTCGCTTCAGAGTCTTCTGTAGCTTCGCTTCAGAGTCTTCTGCAGCTTCGCTCAGAGTCTCTTTTAGGCAGCGTTCAGAGTCTTCTGATTCTTAACTTTTAGAGGAGTTTTTGCTTCCAGAGGAATATTAATTTTAATATCTGAAACAAAAACACTTGAATACGATTAAAGTATATAATTACTTCATATAAAATTTCATTAATGTAATCATCAAAGCATAGAGATATATTAAGAACCAATCTGTGTTCTAACAACTTAACACATTATGATTTTGTGTCTTTGTCATGGGTGTGACGAATAATGTTAGAAAGAAAAGTATGCATTCATTAGGGAAACTGAATAGTTAATTAATTGTGAAAAATTATTCATAGACTTGTTTTAATAACAAAAAGATGAATTTGATCGATCAAAACAAAGGATAGCATATATATTATACTTTCTCTGTCCTAATTATAAATTACTTTGTTAAAATAATTTGTCTGTCACTTTATATTTTTAATATAATATTAATAATTTATTTTTAATATATTATAAAATATTTATTATTATTTATTATTTCAACTCTTTTAATTTTTATCTCCTGTATAATTATAAAAAAATATTATTATAAAATTATATAAAATTTATTTTTTTCATAAAATAATAATTACGAGGAACTAAGGGAATACTTAACAACAACACGAGGGAGTGTGCTATACCCAATAACTCCAAGTATATGTGATTTTGTCACCTAGTTTAATTCATGTCGACCCATTTAATACAAAAATCACGTCGGCAAATTTAAACCAAAAGAAAAATTACGTCGGCACAAATAAAGAGTGCTTGGAGCTTTCCAAGTCCAAACAAAATAGCCAATACTGAATACACGTGTCAACCGTAACTGCTTGCCACCTTGCTCTTCCACGGATAACGGGGACAAAAGATCCAACCTATAAACCAATCACATGTTTCATTTCATTCCCAAAACCAAACACACACACACACAACACAGTCGAAGAAACTAAGAAACATGGAAGCAATGCTCATCACCAAAAGCACAGTAGTTTGCCACTTTTCAAAGTCACTCCCTAACGTCCCTTCACTCTCCCTTCACAAACCCTCAAGAGTCATCTTAGCTTCAGCTTCGAACCACTCTATCAGTTACAGAATTGCAACAAAGACAAGACGTGGTGTAGTCGTCAGAGCCGCAGAATCCATCAGTGAAGGCGTAGAAGACATCAAAAAAGCCGCACTTGATGCGAATGAGAAGGCAAAGGAAGTTGCAGGTTCAGTAGTTGATAAAGTAAAAGAAGATACAGACAAGGCTTTAGCGGCTGGGGAGAGTGCCGGAGAGAAGGCAAAAGATTTTGCTTCTGATGCCAAGGACAAAACCACAGAAGCTCTAGGTTCTGTGGCTGATAAGACAGATGAAGGAATTGAGGCAGCCACGAAGAAGGGAGACGAGGCGACAAAGGCTCTGAAGAAAGAAGGAGAGAAGGCGGAGAAGGCTGCTGATGGAGCGTGGAAGGATACCAAAGATGAGTCACAGAAGGTTAAGGATGCTGTGGTTGGGAAGGATTGAGCTTGAAGATTTAGGATGACGAATTACTTGATGTCTTGGTTATAATGAATCAATACAATACTATGATCTTTTGCATCTATGTTTCTTAACTTTCAACATGCAGAAATGTTTGTAAACATGTGCTGCATAATTCCCTCGATAAATTAATTGTTTGATACTCTTTTGATAATAAGAAGCTGTTTTAATTTGGTATATAAACTCGTCATATTCATGAACACAAAGGAAAATTTTGAACTCCTTGAATTGAAGACATGAGATATTTTCATTCGGAGGTGAATTACTATTAGATGAGGATTTCAAACGTGATTGTAGCTAAGAGAATATCTTAATAGAAGAGTCCAAACAAAGGATGACAAAAATAAAGTGTAACTTAATTATTTTTAAAGAAAAATTATATTAAAGATGATACATAGATATGTTCTAGTTTTGCCAATCGATCAATAAATCAATATATTTATCAGGTATTTATATCATCTGCATATCATAACATGCATTTCTTTTTTCATACTACTTAAAGTATCAACCAAAATAAAATTTCGGTTCTATAGATAGATCACTTGTATCGTTTCTCAATTGCGAAAATTTTTAAGATATATCGATCTTGTATTGTCATTATGTTGATCTACAGTCCAGATAGTTCAACCTGACGTCCTCATTTAATTTTTTCAATTGATCCGTCTTAGCGTTTTAAACTGATCACTTTTTACTACAAAATTTGATCTTTATTTGTGTGTTTAACATAAGTATATTTCGCTTAGATTATTTCTTCGCGTATTATTTTCAATTCTGTTTCACTTAGTTTATTTCAAAAAAAAATTTTTCTTCGTATATTTTCGCGTCCGATTTTTGTTCATTTTAATTTCTTTTGTATTTGTTTTTATTATCAAAATATCAAAAAAATAAAATAAACAGGAACGAATAAATATTTTTTTTATTTTTTTATTTTCTTATTAAAATGATTTGATTTTTAATTCATTTTATTGCATTTAAATTCAATTTTTAATCTAAATATCCAAGAGTAATTTTAGAAATGCATTTAATTGTGAAAATTCTAATTTGCTTACTACTTTGTGTTTTCTCATTGACTATTAGATTGAATAAATCAAGGGCCCGCATTGTCCCATCTCACCATTAGGATCACTTTCCTCTCTTTCCCTATCATCCAATCAAAATAAATAAAGAAAGAAAGGTGAACTAGAAGCTCTTTATGAGAGTGATTCTTAACACATTTTGATACCTTAGGCTTGATGATGAACAAAATCCCATGTCTTTCTCTATTGGAAAAAAGGGTGAAAAATAGTTTTTTTTTTGGAGGGGACATAACCATACACGCCTTTATTGGGAAAATAAGAAATCTTTTTCACTTGACTTTTGAAAACATCTTCTCTCTCTTCAGAGAGACCGATCCATTTTTTATTTTGGATGGACCACTTATTCCATCCTCACTACATCCTTCACGTTTTTTTTTTCCTGCAAATAAAAAAACTATCACCCACTTGCTAAAACTCACCTCTCTGCATCACAAAACAACATTTCCACACACTTCCTTCTCACACTACAACTCCCTCTGTTTAATCACCACCCTACACCTAAACCCTTTCATCTCCTTACATCGCCTCAAATAGTGGACGATTCCATTGTCAACCTCACCATTTCCACTGTCAAACACCCATCGTTGGCAACACAACACAACTCCAATCCAACACCAAACCATACTCTCCATCTCCTTCAACATCACTGACGGTAACCACCATATCCACGACTGTTACTTATCAAGCTCAACACAACATTCCAGCCAACCTCTATACGAACTCAGATGACTCAAACATCCAACGACAACAACAACATCACTGTCACTGAAACGCGCAGCTGCTACCACCGCCAACTCAACTGAAACGAGTTTCACCATCCACGCAATAACAACATTTATGACTCAACATCTGGTAATCTTTTCAGTTCGAGATTGAAATTGTGTTCTAATTACATTTTTTTTTGTTTTTTTCGGTTTGCGTAGTAATTTCTTTTTCTTTTCGATTATGTTGTGTATGTCACAATTTTTATGTATGTTATGTTAGTACCAAATGGTGTTAGTTTTTTCATTTCGATTCGAACGTTGATTACGTTTGCATTATTTTGATATAAATATTTTGGGTTGCTACTATATTATTTCATTTGGTTTCTGTTTCGTTAAATCAGATATAATCCATGGAATCAACATAATTTATTTGTCGTTATGCTGAATTTTTATTCGATATATTGATGTAACATTATCGATGCGTTGTGTTTGGTATTGATGACGTTTTTGTTGCGTATCGCACGGTATGTGGCGTTACCTGAACTCTCGTTCCGTTTGCATTATTTTTCGTTGCATTATGCTATTTCTTTGCATCTCGCATAATCCATTGTGTTAAGTTATGCTTTGCGTACATTAAGTTTTATTTTATTACAGTTTTGATTCATTTGCGATGATGCGCTTCGCGTTAGAAATTCATTTTGACTCATGATAGCATGCGATATTTTAATTTCATTTCGTATAAATTGAACTCGATTCCACTTTGGTAGCTTTTCATCGCACTTCTTTGTGTTACGCGACATTGATATGCGTCCTTACTTTGTGAGTTTTGATTTGTGCACGCTTCGGTTTTCTTTTCTCTTTCGATTCAATTACGATAAATGTGTGTTGTATTTATGTTGTATGCCCTCCTATCTTTATCTTGTTGCATACTTTGTACAATATTGCGCTTCTATTTACTTTGTGGCATTAAGTTACACCTTGTGCTTGAGTTCGCGTCGTCACACTGTAACTCACACCCTTCGTGAAGCAATTCGCAACAATGTTACAATTATCACATTCGTTTATTCTTCAACCATATTTTCCGCTTTATTCAATCTTTTTTCATAATCAATTTGAAACGTTTGATCCAACATCAATTTGTTTTACGCATCAAATCTTTTCTTAATAAAAATTGAAAGACAAAGGAACGAGGGACACATATCTCTTTAAACCCTTTAATAGTCTAGCGGTCGGTGTACACTTTGTTCAAGATTACTATTAGTATTTCAATCTAAAACACCTTAATTAAATGTGGAATAAAGGGATAATTCGAAGCACATCTATCAGAATCTCGAGTAAACGCATGATTGGTACACATCTATGCTCCCGAACCCGCTCTTGGTTGTGACGACCATTACTTTTTCTTTATGGGTTTTATCGATATTTTGCCTTTCCTTTTGGAATAAATAAAGTTCAGTGGCGACTATGTTTGTATTTCGAGCGCGCGATGAGCTTGTGCTTTTTTTTCGTACCATGATAGTTGGCGATTCTGTTGGGGATATGTTTATCTCAAGCGAGTACACCCTTGTTTAGTTAGCTTTTCGTTTTTTTGTTAGCTTTCTTGTTTCTTCTTCTTCGTTGTATGTTTGCTTTATTTTGTTATATTGCATTTTTATATCCATGTATATATTCATGTGTGGGCATTAGAAGTTGTTACTTGAGTGAAGTTCTACAACCAGGCTTTGGAAAAAGAGAAAAACTTAGGTTATAATGGAAGTTGTGTAGTGTTAATCCCTAAGGTCTACACCTTGTATGCCTAACACGAAGACTCCTCATAGAGTAGGCATTTTTGTAGATCTTGTTATAAGATGGATATTTTGTCGCATAATGTTGATTCATGAAGGGTCCATAACTCTAGGGACCCTTCGTAGAACCAGTTACTGCTTTGATTGTTTCATAGTGTTAGTCACCAAAATCCACACCTTGAATGCCTAACATGAAGATCCCCCTCAAAATAGGCCTTTTCATCACATAAAATGGTTAGTCTGTTGGAGGAATTTGATACGACTAAGGTCCATGACTCTGTGAACCTTATCCATCAACCTAGAATCTATCTTGTGAGTGGCTTATGGGTAGAAAGATTAGAACTATCCCACTATAGGGCGGCATCATGTGTAGGGTGTTTTGTGTTATTCATGTTGTCTCGGATCCTTACACCTACACATGACATTGCATTCCATTCATGCATGACATGAATTTGCATTTTTCAAAATAAAAATATTCTCACATATTTAAAACAAAAAAAATCTGTGCATCTGGATTCATTAGTATGCATGCATATTTCTCCATAAAATAAATAAAAAAAACTCACTCTAGTCTTTGTCCATGACCAATAAGTTGATTCCCTGACTACAAAACATGCAAACAACAACGTCAGGTTTACAAAGGATTCATATACATCGGTGTAATAGGTTAAATTTTTTGCGCCCAGTGTGCAACTGGATTTATAAACAGTAATTTAATGACGGTTGTCTTAAAAAACCGTAGTAATAAATGATGTGTAGCAAGCTTTGATTCCCAGAAACTACATTTTTTCTATTTTTTAGAGTATTGTTGCAGTGAGAATCAGATATGAAGCTATTAATTAACTTGAATCACAAATCTTAATTCACCACCGATCTTTAATTTATCCAAGAGAAGGGAAAAAGAACGAATAAACCTAAAATATGCAATGCAAAAACAAAGCAAACAAAGCACAAGAGAATCTAAGGTTCGAGGGTTGGTTATACCTATGGAAGGTGCTAGCATCCTAAGTATTTATAGTACTCTACAAGAACCTCTTGTTTAATTATGTTATTTTTTACTTTGTCTGCTAAAGGGTGAAAAAGTAAAAGGGAGACCTAAGGTGTTATTCCTAAGTATGCTCGCCAAGAAGTCGCATCTTGTGCCTACGTATCCTGACGAGAGCGAAATTAGAGCATTCGTAGTTCCCCTCACTAAGGGTAAACAAGTGTAAAAAGAAAAGTTTGCTCGCCAAGGATTGACCTTGTACCTACATATTCTCAAAATGAACTTTGAGAAATCAGAGCGTCCGTAGTTTGGACAACTACGTGTAAAAGCGGTGTTTGTTGGTTGGTTTTAGGAGAAGATAAAAGTTGTCATCTTAAGGAGAATACTCGACTTAAACTACCACAACATATGGAATATGGATCTTTGCTTCATATTG